AATTGTGCTAAAATTATACAGAAAACATTCAGGTACTGTACAGTAGCAGGGGTAGCCATGTTAGTCTGTATCCACAAAAACAAGTATCAGAGGGGTAGCTGTTTTAGTCTGGAGCTATAAAAAGCGACAGAGTCCTGTGGCATCTTATAGACTAACAGACGTATTGGAGCATAAGCTTTCATGGGTGAATACCCACTTCGTCAGATGCAGGAACAACAAGGAGTTAAAAACAAGGAGTCCGGTGGCACCTTAAAGACTAACAGATTTATTTGGGCATAAGCTTATAAATCTGTTAGTCTTTAAGGTGCCACCAGACTCCTTGTTATTCAGCTACTGAATACTGTTTTCTTGCAGTTATTTTTCCAATCCCTGTTGTTGTTTGTTTTGCTGGAAGGTATTCATGGCTGCCATCAAGTGGGTCTTTGATCTATACAGACAATCACAGACCAGGTTAAAGCTGATGGGTGTAATAATGACCCTTCATTTGGGCCAACTGGAAGGAGCAGTTAAATACCTTTTTGTGTAGTGATAGCTGAAACAAAAGGAGGCTTCCGCCCAAGGCATTGTGCCAGAATGGGAAAGCTAAGAAGTCCTAAGCCATGTGGGCTGAGGGGTTTCCCTGCATACACTGGGGACACGGGATTGATTGGTTGCAGCTGTGTGTGAGTACGGCAGAAAGTTGCAAGACAGCAAGTGAAGTAGTCATGACTCATGAGGAAGCAGAGGGAGAGATCTCTTTGGGGCACAGGACTGGTGTGGGAGGCAGGCTTGGATATTGTGAGCAAGGAAACTGCCTGCTGTTGTTGTCTATTGTGTCTAAGGGGTATGTGTGCATACTTTGTACATAAACAGGTTTGCGTCAAAGAATACACCTGACTCATATCATCACTTTCTCCTCCTAAGGGAAACAACCCAGCAAGGCCGCAAATGTGGGCAAAACACTGAAACAAAGGAGCAACATTATTATATGAATTGTGGTTGCACCTAGTGACCAGTGTGTACCCCATGGGGCTAGCTTGCTAGAAAAAGATAAAGGCCCACTGGAAATTAGAACCCTATACTACTGAGAATGGAAAGCCCAATAAATTGGCCTGAAAGGGTGCCTGATCAGGGGAATTCTGGAGGGAAAAGGACCAAGAGTATTCCATCATTACCCTTGGTCCCATGTGCCCAATTACCTCAACTAAGGTTGTAAATATTGACATACCTGACTTAAAAAGAAATGCAAAAATTGGACAAGGACATAGTGAGGGTAACCCAGGAGCTTTCCAAAGCAGAAGAATGATCACTAACATTAAACCCCTTACACAGGAGATATAGACAGTATTTACAGGTTGTGGACGGAATTCTCATGTACACAGGAGGTCCTTTTCCTGCGTGGGCAGCTTCAACTCACCTAAGAAGGGAAATAATGTATGTGGTTCATGACACTCCTACAGAGGACATCAGGGAGTGGATGAAACTGTCCAACGCCCCCTGACTGCCACTTCTTAGGTTGGATGTACAACAATATTGTGACAACTGTTTGGCTTGTGCCCAAGCCAGCTCTACTCCATCCAAAAGGAATGCACCGTTGCAATCTCAGGTGTATGAAAGTCCATGGATGGCTTTGCAGATTGATTGTATAGGTCCTTTACCAAGGAACCAGAGAGGCAAAGGTGGTTATCGATCCTTTTTCAAACTGGGTAGAGGCATTTCCTCTAAAAGCCACAGCAAAAGTCCTGGCAAAACAGTCTTCTCTCAATGTGGTGCTGGGTGTTGTAAAGAGACAAAGGAACAGCCCTTGTCCCCAAAGAGTTTAAGCAAAGGATGGGTTATTGTCTCCATTTGACAGATCTAGCGACCTTGCAAATCCAACAGGATTGTATGCCCTGTCCTTACAATGAGGAAGAGAGTTGTGCAGTTGATCATGGGATAGAACAGAGGGGATTGACCCCAAATACCCACAATTTCCTGAGGGATGAATGGGTCTCACACTGTACAGTGACAATTTCCCACGAGGCCGTGTGCCCGAAGGACTCTGGGGTGACTGTCCACAGTCACAGACCTTTGTTTTTGGGTTTTGTTTTGTTTAAAATGTCCTAGGAATTTATCAGTATTTATTACAAAAATTTGAAAATCGGTGCAAAAAATGAACTTCATGGTTTTCTGAGTAAATATCGAGGTTGATATTCAGGGATGGGAGGATGACCTGGGCCACCAATTTACCGAGCCGCTCTCTCTCCTTCTGGAGCAGAGAGCTGGTTCTGGGGAGTTCCCCTCTTCCAAAATTCTGGTGAAAATGGTAAAACCTGAATAATGTAAAACCCAGGACACTTTCCGTGAAAACTGGTAAAAGCCCGACCGTGACAGTGCCCCACGCTTCAGCCAGTGCCACCTGATGCTGCGTGGACACAGCACACACGGACTGTGCACGCGCTCAGCTGAAAGAGCTTGGTCGGTGGCAAACACTGAGCTTTTTAATAAATAAATAAAATAAATTAATGGAGATATCCCATCTCCTAGAACTGGAAGGGACCTTGAAAGGTCATCGAGTCCAGCCCCCTGCCTTCACTAGCAGGACCAAGTACTGATTTTGCCCCAGATCCCTAAGTGGCCCCCTCAAGGATTGAACTCACAACCCTGGGTTTAGCAGGCCAATGCTCAAACCACTGAGCTATTCCTCCCCCCCGTCAGCAGACAGTGTGCACAGATGGTGCATCGTGTCCATGTGGCACCTTTATACCAGTATAATCTCCTCTGTGAAGCGCTTGGAGAGCTACTGATGAAAAATGCTATATGAGAACTAGGTGTTGTTCTCAGTCTTATGAGAACTGCATCCGTCACTAAGGGTTGTGTTACTATAATTATAGAAGTATAAAATCACACCCCCAATCAAAATGATTAAACTGGTCCGACATATGCATACACAGCAGGCCCCAGAGTTTTCATTTGCAGATGGCTTCCTGGCGGGGGCGTTGTTAACCCGAGCACCTCCCCTCAAATTGAGGTCCCCAAACTGGGCAAGCAGCATTAATGGTTTTGTCTCAGCTTCTGCCTGGAAGATGTTGATGTAACTGAAAGCTGGTGACCTCCGGAGTTCCACTGAGCTCAACAGTGAGAAAGGGCACGGGGAAAGGACAACCGCTTGTCACACCAGGGTTCAGTGTAGGGACAGGCTGACGGGATCACGTTGAAATTAATAGCAGGGTGGTGCATGCAGGGCACAGGAATTTTATTTTACTGCAGTTATATAGGCCCGGCTTTGCCAAAGTGCTCTCTGATTTGGGTGCCTGATCTGAGGTACCGAAGAATGATACATCACACTTTTATGGAGGAGGCTACATGGTCTAGCGGTTAGGGCACTGGACTTGGACTCAGGAGACCTCCTTGGACTCAGGCTCTGCCACTGACCTGTTGCATAACCTCGGGCAAGTCACGGCCCCACTCCGTGCCTCAGTTTCCCCTTCCACCCTTTGTCTGTCATGCTCGTTTAGATTATAAGGTTTTCAGGCAGAGCGGCAGTGTGACCTAGTGAATAGAGCGCTGGACTTATATAGACTAGAACAGGCTGGGACTCAAGTGACCTAGGTTCTATTCCCAGCTTTGCCACTGACCAGACAAGTGACTTCCCCTCTTTTTGCCTTATTATTATTCAGGGCAGGGATTGTCTCTTCCTAGGTGTTTGTACAGCGCCGAGCACAGTGTGACCCTGGTTTTTATTCAGAGCCTCTGTGTAGTCCTGCAACACAAAGAATAATTGCCACCATTTATGATGTTGGATTTCTTTTCTTTAAAACTCACCCCAGGATGAAAATAGGCAAGTCAGTTTCGCTTTTCTTTCTGGTCACTTTCTAGGCAGCTACATGGGCTGGTTCTGGTGCCTGGAACAATCATCATAATAGCCCCTAGCTCTTATCCAGGGTTTCCCATCAGTAGATCCGTGCAGGTCCAAATCATGCTAAAACGGTTTTGGGTCCAGGTGCTGCAGGAAAATTTTCTTAAATGTTTTTACTGGGAAAATATGAAAAAAATCTATGAATAATGGAGTTTCTTTTTTTTTTTTTAACAAAACCTCAATTTGGGACTTAAGCCACCAGAGAAAGTTTCTTTAAATGTGCCTTTGAGCCTAACTCTTAGTTACCCTAAAATCGCTTTAAACCACTCTAGTGATGTGAAGGGGCCTTAAAATGAACATAAATGTAATTTATACTCCCCATATAATTAATAATACCTAACTCTTATGGTATTTTTCATCCATAGAGCTTGGAGCTTTATAAAGGGGGTCCATATCATTCTCCTCGTGTTACAGATGGGGAAACTGAGGCACGGGGCAGTGAAATGACTTGCCCAAGTTCACCCAGCATGTCAGTGGCAGAACGTAAGGCCCTATACACTGCCAAAGCAGTATACAATGGCCTTACCGTAACTGAGGATCAGGCCCATTGTCGGAAAAGAACAGGTCACTTTGATCAGATACTTCTGCTAGCTGACCAGCTGGTGCATACTGCTGCTCAGTGACTAGGGACATCTGCGAAAAAACCCTCGGAGGCACAGTATTAGCTTTTCCCTTCTGATTGTGCGTTGGGATTTTGCAAACCTAAATTTCAGCTCATACCATGTGGCTTTGTTACTTTGCAGGGATGTGCCTGTCGATTGGTGGTGTGTACCATCAGAACAACTAAACAAACAAACAGAAAACCCCAAAACCTGTTGAAAAGGGCCCAAAGCAGCAACTCCTAGCTGCTCTGCCAAAGTCTGTATCCGTTGGTCCCTCAGACACACAACGTGACAGCTCATTGCGCGCCTCCAGATTTAGGTGCGGCTGACGCTGCACAGAGTATAATTTACAGGATTGACATTTTGGCTTGTCGTTTACCGAGTGGTGGTGCTTTGAAAGGAGATAGCCCCGACTGCAAGAAACTGTCCTGGTCCCAGAGACCGTGTGGGAATCGGGCAGGCAGGAGGCACCCGGGAAGGGACTCTCCTTCCTCAATCTATATATTATTTTTATATTCCAGCTAAGAAAATGTCGCAGCCACCAGAAAAACATGAGCGCACACACAACCTGGGGATTGGGAAAGCCATTGCTGTGCTGACCTCGGGAGGAGACGCGCAGGGTAAGGAGATAAGCGGCACTGTTTGTGTTTGGAGTCTGTTTGTTTGAATCGATGGGCATGATTTTCAAAAGAGACTAGAGGTTCTGGTTGCTTCAATTTTGGGAGAGCCCAGCGGGAGAACCCTGGAGATTTTCAGGGAGCGCTGAGCACCCGCCCAGAGAGCATCAGGTCCCTTTTAAGGCAGTGGCTCTCAACCTTTCCAGACGACTGGGCCTTTTCAGGAGTCTGATTTGTCTTGTGTAATACCCCCAAGTTGCACCTCACTTAAAAACTACCTGCTTACAAAATCAGACATACAAATACAAAAGTGTCACAGCGCACTAGTACTGAAAAATTGCTGCCTTTCTCATTTTTACCATCTAATTATCAAATAAATCAACTGGAATATAAATATTGTACTTACATTTCAGTGTATAGTATATAGAACTGTATAAATAAGTCATTGTCTGTATGCAATTTTAGTTTGTGCTGTTTCTGTAGCCTGTTGTAAAACTAGGCAAATATCTAGGTGAGTTGATGTACCCCCTGGAAGACCTCTGCATACCCCCCGGAGTACATGTACCCCTGGTTGAGAACCACTGCTTTAAGGTGTCTCCAGTATGTACCCCCTGGAAGACCTCTGCGTACACCCAGAAGTACATGTACCCCTGGTTGAGAACCACTGCTTTAAGGTGTCTCTAGTTGGGAACTCAACCCCCCCCCCAGTCGTTTTTTAAAATGGTGACCAATGTGTGTGGTATAGATATGTTGGCAAGATACTTTGGGGAAATCCAGTCCTTATTTTGGTTCTTAAATGCGGTATTCCCTGAGCATCCAAAATCATGAGTTACACCTCCCAAAATCATGAGATAGGCATAAAAATCATGAGGTTGGGGGGTGGGCTTGAAGGAAACAATACATTGTGGGTGCGTTTTCTTTGCCTTTTAGGTTTTGAGTCTTTAGGAATCATATTTTCAAGCTTTTCTCCATAACCACAAAGGCTAGAAACTTACTTCTTTTTTTAAACGAGAGCTGAGATTCACATCATGTGACTCCGGGAGCTGGGGCTTGGAGAACATTAACTATCATGAGACTCACAATAAAATCACAAGGTGTGATCTTGGATCAGATGCCAACCTGGCTCAGGTGCCCATGAGGCCTTGTGGCTTTAACCACTACTCAGGAAGCAGTGCAAGGATCTGTGATGGCACCTAGAGCCTGTGATTGCTTTCATAAACCACCAGATAAAAGATACAATAATGCCCCTCTTACAGCCTGATTTGCAAATGGGGCCTCTCATTCCAAGTGCATTGATTGTGGGGTAGGGGTGTCTAAAACAGAGCTCTCCAAAAATCAAGGGGTCCAAAATTTCATATAGATATCAAATTTAAAACAGATCATTTTTCAGATGCCGCTTTGGAAAATGTTGGGGTTCGGACACTACAGGGAAGAGAGTCACGTACCTGGATAGATATAGTATTTATTTTAAATTTGGGAGCATCAAGTGTGAAGTCCTGTGTGCTGATTGGCTGAGTAAAATACATTTCTATTACTCTTATTCTACTCCGGCTAGCCCTGCAGAACCCACACAGCTATGGGAGAAGGGCTTGAAGTCTATGCCTCTTGTGGAGCCATAGAATTATTAACTAAGTCCCGACTGCTAGGCCGGATTCTGTCCTCACTTATGCTGTTCGACTCCACTGGCAGCAAGTTTCACTGCGGATGGACTCTTGTCCCCGGATCCGTGCTTGAGTGTGACACCATGCAGCTTCTTGGCTTTCAGACCCCAAGCCGGGCTTACCCAACATGGGAGTACGCATTTTCAACTGGGTAGAGCACAGGACTGGGAGTCAGGACTCCTGGGTTAGAATCATAGACTCTAAGGTCAGAATGGACCATTATGATCATCTAGTCTGATCTCCTGCACAACACAGGCCACAGAATCTCACCCACCCACTCCTGTATCAAACCCCTAACCTATGTCTGAGCTATTGAAGTCCTCAAATCGTGGTTTAAAGACCTCAAGGTGCAGAGAATCCTCCAGCAAGTGACCCGTGCCCCACGCTGCAGAGGAAGGCAAAACCCCCCCAGGGCTTCTGCCAATCTGCCCTGGAGGAAACTTCCTTCCCGACCCCAAATATGGCGATCAGCATGTGGGCAAGACTCACCCGCCAGCACCCAGGACAGAATTCTCTGTAGTAACTCAGATCCCACCTTATCTAACATCCCATCGCAGGCCATTGGGCATATTTACCGCTAATAGTCAAAGACCAATTTTATTGCCAAAATTAGGCTATCCCATCATACCATCCCCTCCCTAAATTTTTCAAGCCAGATATGTCTTTTGCCCCCACTGCTCCCCTTGGAAGGCTGTTCCAGAACTTCAGTCATCTGATGGTTAGAAACCTTCGTCTAATTTCAAGTCTAAACTTCCTGATGGCCAGTTTATATCCATTTGTTCTTGTGTCCACATTGATACTGAGCTTAAAGAATTCCTCTCCCTCCCTGACTCTATCCCTGGGTAGGGCAAGTCGCTACCCCTGCCCCAGTTACCCTTTCTGCAGAAGAAAGACGATCACACTCCCCTGCCCCACAGGATCAATGTTTGTGAAGTGCTTTGATCTCCCCAGCTGGAAGGTGCTTATTAGAGTGACTCTTTAGTGTGGGGATGGAGCAGGTCTGGAAGTAAGCGAGGACGTAAAGATGGAGGCCACTTTCACAGAGACCCATTCCAGTCAAACAGCACCATGGGCTTCAGTGCAGCTTGTGAGCTGCAGCCTGCATTCGGGGGCCTCGCAGAACAGCTCCACACAGCAAAGCAAGGGCTGCGATGGCTTTTAGCAGGGTGCGGCATGTGCTGCCCCTTCAATCTCCCTGCCCTGGTTGCAGCAGGCTCTCCTGACACTTGCAGTCAGGGAATGCAAGGAGGAGGGTTGTGTGCAGGAGCAGAGCGCTGGGCACTCTCCTCCCCCATCATACACTCATTACGCACCCAATTCTAGCCCATCAGAACTCAACACTTTAGAATCCCCCTTTGCTTCCTCCTGGGCTTTGAACCACCGCATGGGAAGGGGAGCCTAAAGCCTCTTGGTCAATTGCTCTGAATCCTTCTCTGCTTATGGCACAAACAAGGCTCTGCCATCCCTGTCTCTCCTGCCGTTCGCAGGAACGGCTGCCTTGTCGTGTTTCTGTAACAGAAACTGTTTTACGCGGCTAGGTGGTTGGCCTGTCACTCAGAACCCAAACTGCACTTCGGCTGGTCCCTACCCTTTGGCCCGTCCAGCTCGGGTGATCCTACCAGGAGTGAAAGCTCCCACTGGCATAGCTTCCATGGACACACAAGCCTCCCTCTCCCCCCCTCCAGGTGCAGTCCTCAGGGAAGGTCAATCTATTGTTCTCATTGATATGGAGGTAACCAAGGCCCCTTTGTACCAGGTGCTGTGCAGACATATCCCAGATGGCCCCTGCCCTAAGAGGTGAGACAACAGATCTGTGTAATAAGCAGCTGGGAGAGCACCAAGTAACGGGGGTTCTCTGTGTATCTCACATACTTGTACAGACCCTCATCTCAATACCTTCACTGTATTTGTCCTCACACACCCCTATGAGGCAGGGCAGGGCTAGCATCCCCATCCCACAGATGGGGGGTACTGAAGTACACAGAGACTGACTTGTCTAAGGAGCTGGGAATTGAACTTCGGGTCTCCCAGTACCTAGGCAAGTGCCCTAACCACTAGGCCATTCTTCCTTCCACATATGACCTGTATCATAAGCTCACCACAGTCTATGACTGAAGATGCCTTTAAGCATGTCCACCACAATTTACATTAGGGGCAAAGCACAAACGTGTTAAAGGAAACAGAGGAAACTCCCGGAATGGCTCAGACCTGAGGTCCATCTAGCCCCGTGTCCTGTCTGACAGTGATCAGCACCAGATGCTGCAGAAGAAGTTGCAAGACTCCTGCAGCTATGGGATATGTTCAGAGAGTAAAGCGTATACATGGCGGTGACATTTCTTGGATGGCCCTCTGATATGGGTGTGTGTATGAAGCACAAGGCAAGGTGGTAGTGTGGAGGGTAAACTGGAGGAGAATCTGGGGCTGTGGAGATAGCACATACCATGTGCACTCATTAGGGTGGGTGGTCACACATTAGTAGAGCTCTGGTTGGTATCAATCCTGAAGGTATTTAGTGGGCAGGCAGGAGCTTATCTCATGATTGCAGGAATAGGTGGGAAGAACAACAGGGGAAGAGTTAAGAGGAACTTACTCTGCATTTCCATACTTGTGTCTGTTTCAAGACTTTCCCTAACTGAGAATTTTCTGGATTTTCCGATGTTTGATTTCATTCTAAATCACAACGTTCTTCTCAAGTTTGATCCCCTTAAGTTATTGATCAATATTTGCAACCTAAGTCCAGTTTAACAAAGTTTTTTTGGTCTGGGAATTTTCCTTTTTTTTTTTTTTTTTTTTTCATTTTTAAGGGAAGTTCTTTCATTCTTTGAATGTTGTTGGTTTCAACTGAATACTTTCAAAAGTGACTAGAGCTTTTGGGAGCCCTATTTAAGGCACGTTAAGGGCCCGGATTCTCAGAAAGTGCTGAGTCCTCCACCCTTTGAACGTCAGGCCCCTTTAAGGCATCTCAGGTTGGGCACCCAAAATCCCTAGTCACTTTTGCAAATCCTTGGCTGGGTTATGTTTGTCTGTCCCCATGTGAAGTACTACTGTGCTGTAAATCACAACAGAAGATCTGCGTAGTTCAGAAATTTCTGGGATAACCCCCCCACCCCGGGTTTATAAATTGTGCAGGAAGCTTATGGTGGGAGGATTGGTGCCAGCAGTGCTTTGGCATTGCCTAGCTCTCTGCTCTACCTCCACTGATCTAGCAACTCTGCAGAACTCCCTTCCCATGTGAGAGACACAGCAGCTTGCAGCAGGAAGTAAAAAAGTGACACACTCATCCTCAGAGAGTGGGGAGGGTAGAACAGGGCTGGGGGAATCCCCGTGCCCCTTAGCTGAGGG